GTCAATATTTGTTATTGTCATGCACTCACATATGAAATTAAGGGTACATGGTTCGTGCCATGTAGGTAGTTAGCCCTTTCGTTGGTTATTCATAGAACATATATTCCTCTACTATATATAAGTACTTTTTTTTGGTCGAATACTATATATAATTACTTGGTATTAGCAATCATTGGCACTAATTTAGTCTTAAACCTTTTAATTGGACCAATTTAGACCCAAACCCTTTCACATTGGTACCAATTGAGTCCATTCGGCCAATTTGGCTGGAAATTGCTGATGTGAACATTGACCATCTTACGTGGCACAGCTGACGCTAACGTAGACAATTTTTTCTATAAATTTTTTCCCTTTTTACTTTTTTTTCCTTTTCTTCCTTTGGCCTATAGTTGGCCGTGGCCGGGGATCGGCCACAGGCAAGGGTCGGTGAGGGTGTCGCAGCCCTCACGACCTCTGGCGAGGGTGACCCTCGCCAAGGCTACGAGGGTCAAGCCCTCGCCGGTCCTTGCCTGTAGCTGGTCATCGGCTATGGCCAAGCACCGACCACAGGCCAAAAACAAAAAAAGGAAAAGGAAAAAAAAAAGAGGGAAATTTTTTTAAAAAATTCAAAAATTTACTGAAAAATTATTAAAAAAAAATTGTCCCTATGAGCACCGGCCGTGCCACGTAGGACGGCCGGCGTTCTTGTCAACAATTTCTGGCCTAAATTATCCTAATGGATTGAATTGATAATAATATGAAAAAGTTTAAGACTAAATTGATCTAATTGAAAGGTTTTGAACTAAATTGATACTAATACAATAAATTTAGAACTTTTTTTATACTTTTCCATTCCTCTACTATATATAATCACTTAGCATTAACAATCATTGTAATCATTCATCATCTGCTTTTGATTCTGACTGCGCACTTTAAACCTTGCATTATTCCCGGGAATAATCAGTGTAGTGGCCCAATAATCACATATTTGTAGGCTTTTTAGTTTTGCTAGGCATCAACTTCAGCATAAAGACAATTCTCCCTTTTCTGCATATATGCGGTGAATGATTAAACTCGGGCACTTTAGCGTCCAGCTATGATGATCCAGTTTCATTGCACGAACGAAGAGCTTATCTCTTGGAATAGTGATCTCTAATGTTAATGCATGTATTGTATGTATCAAACTACGTCTGAAAATAGTCAGATTTGGTGGAATTCATTTGTCTTCAAGACGTCTAAGGCTTACTGTTGAAAGGGATGACGAAATTCTATCTGATTCAAACTCTGTTATTTTGATCGTCTAGACTTTTTCACCAGATAAAGCAAGGTTGGAAGGGATTTTTCCATATTTTATACATTGTTTGATAAATGACATATGTAACGTGAATATACATATATGCTAGCCAATTGAGTGTTCGGTGTGTGAACTATTATATAAATTGCCTTTAAAATAGTAATAATAAAATTTTCAAATTAGAAAAAAAAGAAAAAGGTTCGAGCGTGAGCATTGTTCTTTGAACAATGTTGGGCCAGGTATGATCATCTTGCGGCTGCGCGACCACTACGAGAGGGTTGTCGTTCCTTTGAGAACGGGGTACCCTCTCGTGGTGGTCACCTAAGGCCCTCAATGGTCGGAAGACCATTGCAAGGTGGTTGCTAGCCTCATTTGGGAATCTGAATATATGTGACAAAGAGCAAGCATGGGATGTGCCCGTTAGAGAACGGCGACCATTGTAACTATGGCTCGGCCTAAGAACAGTATGACCCACCATAGTGGTCGCCGTTGGCGGTGGCCATTGCCATTCTCTCTCGTCCCCTCTCTCGATCTCTCTTTGTTGCTTTGGTGAAGGGCTTTATTCTTTTTTGTTTTTCCTCTATTTTCATCTCGGATAAGAGATATCCTATTCGGCCATATCCGACCTATGTATTAAGAATATACATATCTTGGTTGAGGAATGCACAAAATAATGACTTGGACAAAAATTATCCTATCAGGTCGTATCCCATCCCGTGCCTCATTCCCAACCCCAGCGAGGAATACTCGCCAGGAATGCATATTTCCTCACCCTACCTGCCTCGTGACACCACAGAGGAAGCGACGCTTAACCCTTTAGTGTGAAGATTAAATTTTATTAATGAAGAAGGAGTACGAGTACTTATTATCAAAAGAATAAAGAAGAGAGAATAAAAGAATCAATTGCAAAAGTATAATTTGAAAATTTACATAATTAAGTGATTATAAAAAAAAAAAGGGAATAAATTTTTGGTGAAGTATTCATGCTTATATTGGAATATATGGAGAAAATAATGAATTTTATGTTGCCAAAGTAATCAAACTCATACAAAAAAAAAAAAAAAAAAAAACTAGCTTACTACCGGGAATGTCCATAATTAAAGTGTGTTGGCCCCAAAATATGGTTCAGACCCAAGAAGGAGAAAAGTTATCTGGTTGGGTCACTAGACCCCTAGACAAGTTAACCTTATGAACCAATTAAGACTCACGTTAAAATTTGGTACATAATCCTAACATGAAATGATTCGTGCTTGACGGTGTGACGGTGTGTTTTTCTATACAGATTAAGTTTTCTTGACAAAATGATTGTTTAACATAGTATCGAGAAGTCCAACTCTCTCCCTCTTACATTTTCGTTCTGCCTATTTCTTGCCAGTGTAATATCATCATGTTTATGCCTTCAAGTATCTATCATATGTAGTTAATTATGTCCGACCTACAAATTTTGATACACTAATAATTGGTTCCTTTCAAGAGGAATTGTCGTTGCTCATAGAGCTCCACCTAAACCCCTGACGTAAGCCAAGCGTTGTGTAATATCCTGGATTAACTTACTGAGATATTTTCTGCTTTGACCCATCTCATACCGAGCATCACGGTTTCCTTCCCAGGAAGTCGCCCATTTAGGAAATGCTCTCACCTGAGCATGCTTAACTTTAGAGTTTCAAAATTAAGTCAAAAGGCGTTTTTGTGAGTTATATTTCAGAATCGCTCTTGGCCTATTTGGTGCACATTTCAATTAATCCTGCCCCATTCCTCATCCTAGAAGCCCGCCAGGAGCCATTCCTTGTCCTGTCCCTCTAGCCCCGACGACAACTCCCCACCTTTGTCGCGCCGGTTCATTACGTGTTGAGCTTGATTACTTGTTATAACAAGAAACCACGATCTATGTCGAATGTTCCCTTAACATCTGCAAAAGAAATTCCTCGTCCTCCCGTCTTTAATTAATTCATTCATCGACGACTCCAATCAATAGCGGCGAAGGTTCTTTGTCTCGCTTTCTTTCAACTCGAGTATGACTCAGCGCAGCTTTAATCCTTCATTCCCGCAGAATATCATCAGCACGGCCCAATGACAAATCCCATGCTTTAATCCCACGAATGATTTTGTAACGTGAGCGGCTTTTATTAGCTTATTGTTAAATTTTGATTGGGATTAAAAGGTAACTGCTGCAGACACCCTCTTGTGACGAGCACTCAACTTCTTCCCAGAAGTTTCTTCGAATCAAAAGCAAACGAGATTGATTGTTAAGATGCACATATGAGTTGTGTTAGAGAAGTTCCACATCAAAAAATTAATATGGTGTTGGATAATTAATATATCCTAATTCGCCCATAACTTATTGTCTTGAGCTTTTCAGTGAATGTGGATCCAACTTGATATATTGACAAGCTCAGACTTAGACTTCCTCTTGGAGATCTCTCTAAGTGAAGGTATCGAGCTTCTAGAGAGCAGGACTTATTTCGAGTGATGCAATTTTAGGTTATGATTTAGGAGAGAGAGAAGTCTTTGACAGTAGATATTGATGAAGCAATTCTCTCTCTTTCAAAAGTTCTAAGGGGGCAGCGGTCAACTCGCAAACCCTTAATGCGTCGAAATGATTGATCATTCAATTTTTATTCATCTTGTAGCTTCATACATAGAGTTTCGAAATCACTGGATTTTGTATCGAAAATCCAAGTATACAATAAAAGAACACCTAATCTTTCTCTCAAAATTGTTTAGGAGGGGATGACGGACCATCACAATCCACCATAAGCTCGGATGTGTCGACATGATTGATCACTTTAATTTTTTGCTTAATTTTTATCTATACGAAGGTTTGAGGTCAACGAATTTTGCAAGCCAAATCTTACGTTCCATCCTCTAGGCGTAGTGCTTTATATCGTTATTGAGTCACCATTGAACTTGGAACGCACACAAACCAAAGTATTAGAAGGTTAACGGTTGAGTGTTGAGAAAACTATGAGTTTAGTATAACGTTATATGATGAATAACCTTTCGATTAACTTGAAACTAAAACACATCAAAAATTAGAATTGACGGTTAGCAATAATTCTTTTTTCTTTCTATCACATTTTTACTCTAACAATTGACTGTGAGAATGCAATTGAAACAAAAAAGGATGGATCACATTTTATGTAAATGTTGCTTCACGAATTATGAATTTTGCAAGCGTGTGGTCAGAGAACGGGTTGGGCCTAAACACCTTGAAATGGGTTGAGGGGGGATTTCTTAGATCAGGCTCGGCAACCATCGGCCTTTCTTTGGAAGGGCTTGGCCTTTACAAAAATAATCTATCCAGTAAAATATCTCTAAAAAATGGAAAATTAAATGGAAAATCTTGCTCTCAGATTGATGAAGCTATTGGAGATATTAACAATCTTCAATTATTGAGAGAAATACAACCAAAATTGAAACAACCAAAAAAACTTCTAAGTAATGATTCATGCCATGTGGCATGTTGATTCGATCAAGTATTCTTGTGTATAACAGTTTTTGAACATGCATTGAAATTAAAACTGACATGAATGAGAGCATGGTATTGCAAGAATGGCTTTCCCAATTTCATTAGCTGTCTTGCCTTCTCCATATTTGTCAAGCAAGAACGAAATCGGTCTAGACTAGCTTAGGTGGTCTTGCAGTAATTCATGCCAACGCATCCAAACTCATTAATTGACTATAATTCGCAGACCTAAATCTCTAAGCACAGTCCTTGGAACATAAAGACTTTTAATATAAGCTCATTATTCAAAATCAGTACTTGACCCACAATGAAATTCAATGACAATACATTCCCTTGCTGAAATGCTCGTCAAGTAAAATAATGAAGTGACATACAAAGAATTCTTCACAAAATTTAATCAAGTGAAGAAAGTATTCCCCCTATAGGGACATGTCATTAATTCACTTGGGCTGATTGAAAACCCTGCAATTCCTCCTGATCTCTCCAGCATTCCCAGTGAGAACCTGAATATTTCCCAGCTTCACCATCGCACTCGCGAAGCTATTCTTGAAACTGTCCGCATCCGACGCAAACCGAGAAACGATGCCGGCGCTAGATTTGTCCACGGCAAGCTCCTGGTCGATTTGTAACACCCCTTTCTTCTGCATAATTTGTCTGTAGAACTGGTTATCCATAATGAACGACGTGCTCTGGTCCAAAAAAGCAGTCGGGTCGTTGCTCGTCGAGTCCCCACAAATTCCCTTCAGCTTCGCGACCAAGCTCGAGTCCATCGTTGGATCCGGAGCTCCAGTGCCTTGGAAATTTGAAAGGCGGTCTTGGAACAAGCTGCAGTGAGCGACTCCAACGGAGTGGGCGCCCAGAAGAGTCACCATTTCTGTGAGGGTAAACCCTTTTGCAGTGAAAGCTTGTAGCGCCTCAGATACCGTGAATGAGGGTCCCGGCAAGTTCACTTCATTCGGGTTTGAAACCAGACCGTCCCGCCTTCCCGTAGAGACATTGTAGCTGGGGCCTCCGGCGAGGAACACGGAGTCTCGAGTTGCTAGCGTGACAATGTCAGCGCAAGACACAGTTGACGGGCATGCAGCCTCAAGGCTCTTCTTGGCTTCGTCGATTATGTCGAATCCTCGCACGGAGAAGTTCGGCCCCGCGGATTTCTCCGATGGCTTCTTGGTGGTGGAGTCGATGAGGATGGATGCATCACAGCCCTGGAAAGAAAATGAGGGACAAAATGTGAGCGGCATGCCTTTCATGGTGAAATAGAGGCGATAGACCTAATTGACACCATCACTCAAGCAATAATGAGATTTACACTATCGTTTTCTTAACAACTCTTCATTTATAACCTTGTCCATATCATATACACTGTAGAATGTGAACTTTCCAAACATTTTTCTCCCCTAGTGTGGATATTATACCATCATATTGGGGTCGAGAAAATGTTAATATATAATTTGTATCACGACATTCTACCAACTAATTTAGCATCCATCTTTATGGCGCAACATCATTCTTCTTAAATCAGTAGTAAATTTTGCATATTATCTCTTGAGCTCTAATGGGTTTGAGTTGACGAGACTCAATTTGATTAAGAATAATGCTAGCTATACTAAGACTAGCTCAGAAAATTGGTACATCGGCAAATGCGGTAGCCAACAGACTTCGGATAAATGCCATTCAACACTTAATAATCTAGCATGCCACATCGCCTAACATATCAATCTATAAATAGCTTCTTAGTTAACCTAGTCATTTTCCTCGATTGATAACATTTCAAAGTCACATATTCATGTGGCGGAAAAGGCAAGTAACTTACCCTCACGAAACAATCGTGAAAATGCATGCGAAGCAAGGCGGCCGTGATCGATCGATCGGTTCCGAATCTCTTCTGAACAACTTGCCGCACGATGGATTCTGCTTGCGGACAGGTGGAGCTGTAGAAGCCGACCCTCAAATCAGCCAGCGCAAGAGGAAGAACAAAGAGGAGCACAAGAACTGCGTTCTTCATTTTGCACGCCATTAGCGTCCTCAGCCAATACTAGCGAATGCGTATGAAGTGAAGAAAAAACACTTGTGTTTCTCAGTTCTGACGGACGATGGTTACAGGACAACGAGACCATGCAAATTTATAGGGTGTTTGAGGGAATAAGTTAAGGTGTGGGCTGCGGGAAATGGCAAGAAAACGAGGGAGCCGGCGAAGTCAAAGGTGACGACTATAGCACATAGATTTTGAACCATATGTTGAACGGATAAAGCTTTTCGCCGAAACTATATTGTAATGTGCATGCATTTGCATATTCTTTGACCATTTCTTCACGTGGAAACAAGAAAATCACTCTTTTTGGTTCTGTCGTTTGTGGTGATGTGCATTATTTATTCATATTCGCTGTATATGATCAAGCTGAATCGCACGAAGCCGGTGTTTATAAAATTTTATGTGAGATCGTGCCCATAAAAGTTCGGTTATTTCTTACGCTCGCAAGTGGCCAAGTGCAAGCAATTCGCACGTTGTCGAATTTTTTCTTCTTTTTATTTTAAAGCAAAGATGTCTAAGAGTTGAAATGAAAGTCTTTTTCCTTCACGGGGTATATCTTGAGCTCAAAGATGTGTCGAAGTGGATAAGTATATGCACCAAGCGACAAGAGAATTGGTTGGCTTCTTCGAAGCAGACATTGACTATCAACAACATCGAGGAAACTTCGCCGGTATTCAAGTAGTGTCCGGGTTGTTTTCATATTTCTTTTCTTTTCTTTTCTTTCTTTTTTTCTTCTTCCTTTGCCAATCATTGGGCCTCGGCAAAGGCCCGCGACTGACCTCAGGCAACGACTAGCGAGGGTTGACCTCATCCGGATCCGGCGAGGGTCGACCTTGCCAGCCTCGCCAACTTCGGGCAAGCCTCGACCTCGCCAGATCTTGCGAAGCGAGCCTCGTCCAAGGCTGACAAGGTTGGCCCTGGCCAGATCCCAGGGAGGGTCGACTTCACCAGATCCTGATGAGGTCGAGCCTCTCCTGAGGTCGGTGAGGGCGACTCTCGCCAGTCATCGGCTGTGGCCGGTGGCTTGAAGCAGAAAAAGGGAAAAAAATTTCAAAAAATTCAAAAAAAATGCAAAATTTATCTAAGTCAACGCTGGCCGTGTCACGTGAGACATTCGGCATCCACATTAGCGATTTCCGGCTAAAATTAACCAGAATGACTACTTGGTAAATTGTCAAAATGTTTAGCATTAAATTGGCTAAATTAAAAGATTTAGGACTGAATTTGCACAAATACAATAGGTTTAGGACTTTTGTGATAATTTCCTCATATATAATGATACTAGTTAAAAAAATATGGAGTATTTAGTAACATGGTTGGCCGCTAGTACATGTTGAATAAACCCACAATTTTATAGGTCTGGCTATAGTCAGTCACGTCACTTAATAGATAAATCAATTTTGTTGATACATCTTAATCAACTTAGCCTTACTACGTAGGTCATGGTTTCCTCCACTTCTGATTGAAGGAAGCATCTGATTAGCGAGTTACATGCTTGGGTATGATCCACGTGTAACCCTAAAATGGATAACGCAAGATCAGTCCCACCTCCTCTCTTTTCCCCTCTCTCTACGGTGACGACCATGGTAGGCGCACCGTACATCGCCGCTGCACTCCATTCGCCATCGCGTTTGCACCGGCCCCTCTACCGCGCCTGCCGACATTCTCTGCTATGAATCTAGTCCGCCTTGAGCAAAGCCACCTTGGGTCTGCTGATGATCCCACCACCACCAACCAAAGCTGCAGCCCCGTCTTTGGTGTGATCGAGCCAGGTCGACCTTGAGTACCACCGGCGACCATAGATAGAGGCAGATCTATGGTCATCAATGTCGAGCCATCATCAGCCTTGATTTGAGGTTGAGAGAGAGAGAGAGAGAGAGAGAGAGAGAGAGAGAGAGGAAGGGAGCAGTGAAAACATAAGGAGGGAAAGAAGTGGGCTTGGCGATGGGGGTATAAGGTTCGAGCAATCATCAACGTCGCCTAAGGCCCGTTTCGTTATGTTGGCGAAACCTCTAGTTTATATCTTGTTCGTACGCGAAACGGTCTGAGAAGCTAATCCTCAAATGCTCTCGGCTGGATGATCTAAACTTCATTAACAAAATTGAGTCTTCCATGCCTAAATGAATAAGGATCCTGAAGGAGGAGGCTTAAATGTACTATTACCTTAAGGTGGAGGAATTAAGTTGAATCAACACAGTAATGGATGTAATTACAATATGTATTAGCAGTTCAAGAAGCGCAACCTTCCGAATCAATTGTTTGCTCCCGGAGAGGATAGCGATCAATCTACACAAAGATCTAAGCCCGGTGGCTTGTGGTTTAATTCAAGCTGGGGAAAATATTCAAAAATTATATTGCACAAATTTAAAGTTTAGGGATCGCATTGCACATTGGGCCAAAATTCATGGACTATTTGTGTCATTATCCCTTCAAGCTGATATTACGAGATGTGACAGATTTATTTGGAGAAAAGTCATCTGAATGGTTGATTTGACTAGTTATAGACGCTTGGTGTTCGGTATATGTTGAATGCAAGAAACTATTTGACCCTTGATATATGTTGATAGGCTGGATGATTCTAAACAATATGACAATGAAATTTGATAAAATTTGATAGGTATGAGTAGAAAACAAAGGCGTCGTTTCGAAATTTAATATAGATACACCACCTCACAAGTTGGTGTCAAAAGTCACTTCAGCCTGAGGATAAACGTGGCTTTTTAAATTTTAAATGAGGACATAAACATAAATCCACAAGGCCTCTTATTAAATTTGGAAAATTTATCTAAAAAATCATAAACATATTGCACTTTTGTCAATTCAGTCATAAACATTTCAATTTTGACAATTGAATTCTAAACCTTTTGCCAATTTGCTAATTGAGTCCATCTGTCAAATTTTGGCCGGAATTCACCGACGTAAACACCGGCCAAAATTGTAAGAAATTTAAAGGCGGTGTCATGTGAGGTTGGGTTGGTGAAGAGAGAAGTCTCCAACCCATGCACACACAATGTCACTCAGGAGCTGACGATGTTAAATGTGATGGATTTTGAATGGAACGTTGGACGCTTGCGATTCTTTTGCTAAAAGCAATGCAAATATGCGTTTGGTGTTGTTCTTTTGCCCGAGAATTGTAAGAACTTTGGCGTGACAAATCTTCACTCAAAAGGCCAAGGAAAATTAATGTAAATTGGTTTTCAGTCATTAATGCTCACGGCTCCTTCGTGGCAAAAACACGGTTCCAGATCAATCTATTGTCTTCCTATATACATGCACTCGTAAATCCATCTTGAGTGTGTATTACAATGGCTAATAAAGTAATCGGGACAATCGCTCTGATCAAATCGAATCGAATTACACGTCAAAACAGTGAACATGATTTCATTATTAGTCTTCCGGAAGATTTAGGACGTGAACTTCACATGGATGATTGCACTTTAAACTAGGTTTAACTAGAAAGTATCCTCAGTCAAGTTCGCATGTTTAAGGAAAGGTGGCCTTACCCTCGTTAGTCCTAGTCCATGTCCGTGGAATCAAAATATGACAGCTATAAAATTCGTCTCTGTACGAAGCAAGAAGAACCAGGCTTCAGTCAAAACATGCGTTTTCTTTTCAGTCAACGCCGAATAATTTCTTCGTGTTTTGTGGACGCAAAACTTTGAATACAAGATTGGACATAGGATTCTTCTTGACGAGAAGGTACTGGGCTTCTAAAGTGTGCTCCCCAACATACTCCCCATCCCACAGTTGCCGCCACCGCCGTTCTCCTTCTTGGCCGCCGCTGTCAAAGTCGTCATCAGTGAGATGGCTAGCAAGGATCACCTAGATGAGATGAGTAGGTGATTTAAGTACTTTTTAATCAATTTAAAGCGGAAGTAAAAGATCAAGGATAAAGTCTGAATAGCGTTCAGATTTTAAACAAACTTTAAATGCAAGTGTGCAATACAATGTGATAAGTAGAAAGAGTTTTAAGGGATAAGAAAATCTGCACACAAGGCGTATAGTGGTTCGGCTTAGATCAAGCCTATGTCTACTCTCCCACGCTGACAGCCTACTGGCTAGATTCCACTAATTAAATCAATGAGAAGTTACAGCAAGTTGTGCCGCTTAAACCCAAGCACTTCTCCCTGAAGCTGGTGCTGCTTATACCAAGTCGATAAATCACACCATCTCACACCTAAGCACACACTTGTAACACTGTCTACACCTCTCAAATGATTACACTTTATAGCTCACAGAAGACAAGTATAAGTGTTCAAAGTACGCTCAGACTTTGGAATTCTCGATTTAGGACTTCGTCTCTCACTTCTGCTCCTCGGCAAGTTGATCTCCTTTTATACTCCTCCACTTCCAAACTAGCCGTTAGATAGTCTTCAAAGGATCGTCTTCCAATCTACCTGTTGACAGAGCTGTATCAAGAAGATTGCGTAACCGTTGAGGGACAAAATTTGAATCTCTGCTGAATCTAGTCGCCCATACAACCAAAGTCTTGGTTTCCATAAGTAAAGCTTCTTCACTTGGAAAGTGACTTGTCTCGAGATTAATTGCCAATCAATCAAGATGTTTTGCATATTAAACCGTTGCAAAACAGTCTTCACGATTGAGTCAATCAAATTATTTTAAGTGTGAAATCCAAGCTAGCTAGATTACTAGATGTTATGTACATTCTGAATACGTGTCACGTTCTGGACTTTACGTTCTGAACTTATATCACGTTCCGGACTTTACATTCTGGACTTATGTTTTGAACTTGTGTCCATAGTTCATCATCTCTGGTGTAAAGTCTGAACCTCTTCATCTGCAATGTAAAGTCTGAACCTCTTCTTCTGCAATATAAAGTCTGAACCTTTTCGTCTGCGGTATATCGTCTGAATCTCTTATCTACACAATCTGAACAAGATTGTCATATGTTTCTCTTCCAAGAATAACTTCCTAAATCAAAATACTTCAAAACATTTATCAAACTTACAAGACACACATGGATAGTTTTGTCAATTTCAAAATCTATTAGAAGATTTTCCCATCAATCAGCCCCTCCACAAAGTTGACTCCA